TCACAGGCAAAGTTTGACGACGTCTTGAAAACTCTTCACTACATTGGATATATAGAAACGGCGGCATGCTTTCTCAATGCCTGCCAGGAACTCGGATTCCAGTTGGCAAAAGGTATAGATGCTATGTACATAATGTGTAGAATAATGTTGATTTTTTCCACATTGGACTACTGTGTTTTTATTTGTGCATTGTCAAATCTTTTGTTCAGGTGATGCCGAAACGGTCAGGGAAAAATACCATTCACATGTAGAGCGATTGGGGTTGGCGTTTGTAGATTGACACTCCAAAGATTGAAAAATACAGGAGAAATTTAGATTTATAAACCAAGTCACAGCATCACTGTAAAATTGTATTAAAACAATGAAGGATATGCTTATTTTTTATTATAAATTTGTTTAAATTTACATTCTCTATATATTCATTAAATTTTGCTCGAATAAAAAATTTCGTAAATATGTATTCTGGATATATATTTCAGCACTGGATATATACTACAGCACTGTATATACTTTTTTACGTAATCCCTCCCCTTTCATAAAAATGAAAAGTGAGGTGTTCTCAAAATTTCAATGTTAATCACTTTATAGGGAAAAAAACTTTGTTCAATAATTCGACGTATATTGTACATGTATGTTGATTTAATGCATTTCGGAGGTATCTTATTATGATGGCTTTTTTGTTAGGGATGTTAACTTTGTCAATAATTCATATTCGAATATTCAATGAAAGTATTCGAATATATTCGATAAGATTTAGTTAAATTTATATATGCAACATCTTACCCTCATGACAGGTTTGGAAGAAAAATTGGGTGTAGAATTTTGTAGGTGTACAGTAAGGAATTTTACATTTGCTATTTGTCGATGTTTGAAATAAATATATTGATTTGAGTGTACATGTAAACATCCGAAATATAATTCTCAAAATATATATCTTGAAGCTCTAAATGATGAACTGATCATCTTACCAAGGGCAAGATTTTCGTTTACTGTTCAGATTAAATTGCATGTAACTAATTACAATTATATACCCAATAAGAGTTGTAATCGTTGATTCAATGTTTTCAAAACATAAGCAGGACAATTTTCCCGAAAATGATTTTTAAAATTTGGAATATGTACAACCCGAGATAAGTAATCGTCGCAATTTATTGTGAAACTGATCCCTTTATGGTTTTACAGAATGATTCTATAAAACAAGTAATTCAATGATCAATGAATTTATTTTGTCAAGTAAACTCTTCACACATTTTAGACTGACAAAGAAGGGTTTCATTTTGTTGTCCTCGAAATAAATCATAGTTATCTCTTTCTTGTGAAATCTGGGGAAAGAAACAAATAATCGAATCGTAGATTCTCATTCGAATATCAACTCATCGAATGAATAATCAAATATTCGTTGACATCCCAGCTTTTTTTGTTTCAGTTTTAATCTACAAATTCTTGGAATATTTGTCATAGCGGAGGAATCTTTTTCAGGTTCATAAGTAGTCCAATGTGTTAGTCACTATGAATTTTGTTAAGTCTTCAGTGCTTCTAAAATAAAATCACTTTAGAAAAACGACTGAGGGCTAAATTGTTTATAAACAGGAGAATGAAGCTTTCGGAATGAGAAGCATTTTTTCCATTCATGATGGAGTTTTAATTTCTATGAATAGAGACAAAAAACGTAATAAGTATGTGGGTGAATTAAAAAAAATGACCCAGGGGCCATGAAATTCACAATTTTAGAAGAGCCCCCCCCCTTCCACATCACAACTATGTACTTTGTTCACCGTCTTAATACCCAGGAACAGAGGAGAAGGTTTTCAAAGAATTAATGCATTTTCACTAATCATCACAGCCCCGCCCTAACACCAGAACCCCTGACCCAGGGCCATGAAATTCACAATTTTGGAAGAAACAACCTTCCTCATCATAACTATGCATGTAGTTTGTTTGCATAATACCCAGGAGCAGAGGAGAAGTATTTCAAAAAAAAAATTTATGCATTTTCACTATATATTCAACAGAGCCCCACCCTAGCACCAGAACCCCTGATCCTGGGGCCATGAATTTTGGTAGAGGCCTCAATCCTTAGTAGAATCATGCCAACAGCTTTACTGCTTGATGTTCAGGAGTAAAGAGGAAGATTTTTAAAGATTGTATTAATTTTAGTGGTTTTGGTCCCACCCTTCAGGCCCCAGGGGTGCAGGGACCATGATATTCACAATTTTTGTTCCCCTTCACCCATAGATGCTATATACTAAAATGGGTTGAAATTGGTTGAGCGGTTTCAGAGAACAACCTAAAACTGGTCAAATGTTAACGCACGACGCATGATGACGGACTAAAACAGATAGCAATATGTCACCTGAGTTTACTCATACATGTATCACAATGAACTTGAAATAAAAGATACCACAAAGGCTAAAACATCTGCTTCACACTTGAACATTTTACAAGAAAAAAGACGTTAATGGTTAACTAACAACAAAACTTTGTGAAAAACGTGATGACCTCAACTTTTCTATTGTCAACTTCCTTTATTTATGTAGCAATATACCCTTATCACCTGCATATGGAGTTTATGTCTCCCAGTTAATTCGATACGCAAGAGCATGCTCTACGTATAAACAATTTCTAAAACGAGGCAAGCTATTGAAAAAAGTTGATGAAACATGGATATGAAGAGTCTCGTTTGAAGTCAACATTTCGCAAGTTCTATGGTTGACACAATGACCTTGTCAGCAAATACAATCTATTATTTCGTCGAATGCTGACTGACATTTTACATACTAATTGTTAGGTCATTATTTACACACTGAATTGTCTACGGATTTTTCCGTTTTCCAGATTATGACAAGGAGCACAGGGCGGGTGTGACCGGTCGACAAGGAATTCTTATTCCTCCATAGCATCTGATTCCACCTCTGGTGTTTTTAGAGGTCCGTGTTTGCCCAATTTGTTCCAATGGACCTTTGAGCTTGATTACTGTTCGTTATCTTTATTTTCATTCAGACCTAATAAGCAATATTTTCAGATGATGCTCATAGAGTCAAAGAAAAATACCACTTACATGTATAGTGATTGGGCTACGCTTTGGCAAATTGACAGTCTAATGGTTGAAAAATCATTGAAGAGATTTATTTTGATAATCAGTATAAGACCATGATTTTAAAAAATACACACAACAGGAAAGTCTTTACTTTAATGTTAAATAAATTTCACTACATTATATGTTACATGTGTTATTTAAATCTAGAAACAAAGAGAAAATTAACACTACGAAGTGCATCTTAGTTAGCAAAGGGTTTAAATAATTAAATAGACTTTTTCATGTCATTTCTCCTTTTACTTGAATTGTTTTGTACGGAAGCCGGTAGGTGCCAGGTAGAAAAAATATTTTATCTGACGGCCGCCACATAAATAACTGGTGGCCGCCAGAAAGTTATCAGTTAACCTCCTGGCGGCCGCGAGATCTATTTATCTGGCGGCCGCCATATAAAATATTTTTTCTATACATGGCACCTACAAACATCCGTAGTTTTGCAATGCAATAGTCATCGTAAATATTGTTATTAAGATGAAATATGAAGACAACAAACAGTAAACATGCTCAAAAGTCTAATGAAACAATACAGAAAGTGAGCAGAGCAAACAAGGTCCTCTAAAAAACATCACAGGTGGGATCAGGTGCAATATAGGAGTAGTAAGTATCCCCTGTCACACCCGACGTTTGAATTTTGTCATGATCAAGTAAACAGAAAATAATGCCCTAACAATCATCAATAAATATTCAACCCAAATGCAAACAAGATCATTGTATCGACCACAGAATTTTCAAAATAATGACTTCAAACAAAAATAATTTAATTTTGGTTGTAACGCGTCATTGGATAAAAAATTAGTTTATATCGTATAACGTACGCCTACGGTATAATGACTTACGCATCAATCCGTTTGACGTTACATTCAAAATATGTACAGTCTGAAGGCATTTTTGAAGGAGAAATCGTATTATTTTCTACACTTAATGATGGAAAATTAAATTTTAAGGAATAAAATTAATAGCTACCCAAGTTATACTGGTATAACCTGGGTTGGAACAGTTTACGCCTTTTTAGCGCTTCGAGGTTTACTGTATGTAAATTTTGTACAGTACCAATTTTGATGCACCAGATGAGCATTTCGACAAATGATGCTCGTGCCGAAACGTTGCCCCAACCCAAGTTATACAGTATAACTTGGGTAGCTATTAAATTCATTTCTTAATTGCAGAAATCTTTTGTCATCAACTTGTTTGTCAGTAGGCTGCCTTGATTTAGAAACTGCTCTTGCGTATCGAATCAACTGAGATAATTACCACACTGGTATTGATATTGGTATTTTGCTACATCAATAAGGGAAGTTAACAATAGAAAAGTTGACGTCATCAAGTTTATCATAAAGTTTATTTTCTAGTTTGCCATCAAGGTAAGTAAATATAATAAATACTTATATTTAAAATATAATAAATACTTAAATAATATTTAAGTAAAATATCAATACATGAAGCAGATGTTTTAGATTCCCTGGTGTCTTTTATTTCGAGTTCAACGGGATATATCGAATCAAAGTTTGAATTCAAATAAACATTGCTAATTGATAAAACGTCATTGATATAAAATTATCTATTTGAAAAAATGTCGAATTGAAAACCACAGCAATACACTTCTTCAAGTATGATTTTTAAAATAAATCATGCTTCATAAGAATATAAAACAAACCTGCTAATGATAGGGCACAATTAGTACCCATGGGAATTCCAACATATTAACCCTTAATGCTTCAAAATAAAGAAAAACGGCTAAAGGTTGAATTGTTTGTATACACACATGTATATAAAATAAAAGTATCCTTTTGGAATAGGAACCATTTATTACTTAATTTTTTTTTTAAATTTGTAAAATATTGATATTGTTACTGTTAAATATCCACTGAGTTGATGAATATTTTTTCATCAAATATCCTATTCAGCTTTACCATAAATACTTATACATCTTTACGGTGTTTCCATCACACATCCAAAGATTGTTTTCTTTATCGTTGCACAAACCAAGATTGTACGGAATACTGTGATCATTTCTCGACAAGACTGTAAGAAATTTACCATTCTGATCAATCATCTGGATATTGGCTTTTCCATCAATCACTAAGATCCGCCCCAAGATGTCGGCACAGATGCTGAATGGCCTAAATTTCGACCCATCCTGGCTTCCTCTGTAAGAGAACCGGTGTTTTCCTAAATTATTGAGTACCACCACAGCGTCATAATCTGATATGCAGATGTCTCCGTTCACATTCTCTGTTATATAGATAGGATATCGATACAGAGGCTGACCCTTGTCATCGCACTGACTCTGCCATAGCTCAAGTCCGTTTTTGTTGTAACGGACTACTTTGGATGGATCATGTTGTAATTTGTAATTCTTCATTCCAGCCAGTATGTCACCGCTCCTGTGGGAGGAGTAGATACATCCTGGCTTCCAGTCTCCTGTATTGATAATGGTAGTGGGCCTCCTACCTGATGTGTACTTCTTGACGCAGTTTTCTAATTCTTCAATGAACAGCAGCTCCCCGCTAAGAGTTACCGTATGATATCCCAACAGATCAAATCCATTGGTTTTGATTTCATCTAACTGTTTTCCTGTTTTATTTATGAGAATTATCTGACCATCATTGTTTCCAATCCAGAATTTTTCAGGAGGAACATTTGAAATATGCTTCGACAAATTAAAAGGCAATTTAAATTCGTGGCATTTGATTGGAGGTCTGGTTTCTAAAGTTCTTGTTGTTAATATTAGATTACTAAAGAGCTTCGAGATTTCTTCTCTTCTGATCTTTTCATTCCTATAACTTGGAGCACTGGGTATTCGAAATGTTGGTTCCGAGGAATCGGACTGAAGAATATCTTTTTGCAGCCTTAGTTTTTCATAAGATCTGTGTTCATTTTCATATTCAGTAATGAGGTTTTCGTATTTGCTGATAGTATTTAATGTTACATTTGTCAGGCTATCCAACTCCTTCTTTAGCCAGTTTTCTTCAATCTCGATTTCTTTTATTTTTTCCACCAGAATGGCCTCAGCTAAAAGTTTTAGCTTCTTTACATCTTTATAAAGCTGTATCTTGATTTCGTTGATCCTGCTTTTAGATTTCCTTCTATGATAAAAAAGTTGGCTCAGACGTTCGTGCCAATGGGGGAGAATCGTTTTGTTGATCTTTTTAATTTTTTCTTTACATCGATCATCTTTTTCTTGCAACACGTCTTCGATGCTTTTGAAGGTGTGTCCTTCATGGTATTTTTGCATACATCTGATACAGATAGGACGATGACAATCCTGACAAGCAATATCAAAAGGGAATCCAGGATGTAATCGGCATGTCTCATTTGGCGTGATCTTTCGACTGAGGTACGGGACTATGGTGTGAGCTTTGGTGGTGGTGTTTTTAGCGTGTCTGTCCCGGCATACCTGACACAAACGGTTAGTACAGGTGTAGCAGTAGTACTCGGCATTCCCCTTACATTGTTTACATTCCACATAGTGCTGAGCAAATCTGATACCCCGTCTGGACATCTGAAAGAACATTGTCCAAATCATAGAAAAAACAAAACAAAACAAAAAAAGGAAAAAAAAAATATTCAGGAAATTATTTTTAATATTAAGTGTTCGTTATTTACGTAGGAAAATCATTTATTCTTTTAAATTACATGATCTTAATTTTTAACCGTTCAATGATTTTTACGAGTTGATGGTATCAACTCATGTTAGGTGACTTGTAAGGGATTCCCCAATGTATCGAAACTAATCACATTTTCACTTGAGTATTTTGCGTACGGGTTCTTGTATAATATAGGTTTATTTACAGTTTTCATAATCTACAGAACAAGAATATGTTTCCTGATATGCTTTGAAGTGTTTATAAACATAAATATTTGTTATTCATTTAATTGGAATTTGTGTCTATCCGCGAGAGAAAATAGTGTTAGGGACATGTGGTCAACAAAAGTGACATGTCGTGCAAACAAAGTTTTGATTTATAAATAAATAAAAGTTTTATATAATATAAGAAGTATTTTGAAAACAGTTTTTAAAAGAAAATTTACAAAATTGAACATTGTACAACCCAGGTTATTTTTACAAGATTGACGTGCTGTTGGTATATAAATAAACTTATTCTTGCGCTGTTATGCTAATGAACAGAGCAGTTTTCCCGCGTTAGTGATGTATCACGGTGTAAATTTTGATAAAAACTATTTTAGTGGCATGTTTTAACTATCTTTGAAATATACTTTTAATCTATTGCAATTACTTAAAACAACATAAAAGACTAATTATGCTAATTACCATGTAACTCAAAATGTGTCAATTTAATCGATTTACTCAACATGTCATGAGTTATTCTATCTAAGCAATCTGTCACTCATGCTCAGAATTGTGCTAATTGTCATTGTTATACTTTATTATTTATATGTTACATGCAACTTTGTTAGTCAAGTCCTAGGCTTCGGATTTTTCGGGTGCAATTTTTGGATTTCTAGAATTCACCCTACCGACCTAAGTTATAATAAAGTGCTATTCCATCGTTAGCATTTTTATGTTTCATTGTTGCCGGAAAGTTTTGACACTTATTTCCCCCGGTGATAGATGAATCATTCAACACGGAGAAACTGTTTGTAAACAAAGCGAGAAGTTTGCAGTAAAGAAGGTCAAAGCAAAATAATTACTAATCTCAAACGGAAGAAATGAGCTTGAAAAAACAATTTTGAAATTTTTTTTTTTTTTTTTTTTTTTTTTTTTTTTTTTTTTTATTTACATTATCCATTGTATACATGTCAATATATAGTTACATATAAATATCTACAAGGCAGTATACAAAGGATTTTTTACACACGCAAACATTCATACATCCACTCGCACATATCGGATTGAACTGGAATTATACAGAAGGAGATTGAAGGTTGCGTTAAAAAGAATTCACTATATCAATTATTCACCAATAATAAAATGCAGTTATCAAAAACAGATATAAAACATTCAATAATATTCAATAGATTAATTGGCTTTAAACAAAAACAAAAACATGTCAACTGGGTTCAAACATTATTTTCCATAAGTCCCATTTTTTATCAAAAGTTGACAGTTTAGAGTTATAAATTGATACAGATCTCTCAATGTTATATTTCATTTTCAAATGATTTATTAGACCAAGAAGGTTTGGCTTTTTACACTGTAATGAGCAAGTAAAAATATACTGCTTTGTGTATAATATAACAAAGTTTATAATTAAGTTATCTTTAGTGAGTGGTATTTCACCCAAAATAATATTTTTGATATTAAAACCAATTCTTTTAGCAGTTGTTCTATAGATATACATACTCAAATTTCTCCATAAGTCCACTATGTCATTACAAGTTACAAATACATGTTGAATAGTTTCAATATCCTCCTTACAAAATTTGCATGAATCAGATGTTTTAATGTTAATTTTTTTGAGATAGTAGCCAACAGGAAGAATTCTATGAAGAAGTCGGTATTGAAACCACTGTACAGAAGAATCATTTGTAGTCTTTAAACACACTCGAAAAACATCTTGTGTGCATGTATCATTCAATCCATGAGGGAACAACTCTAAATTCCACTTTGAAATTGCTGTAGGCTTTGTACAATTTTTGTTTATGACATTGTAAATAATTTTTGAACATTTTGCATTTAACAAAATATATTCAAAATAAAATGGTAAATAAGGCAGACAACTTTTCTTCATTTTTGTTCTCTTAATTGCCAGATTTTTTAAGCATTTTGCAATAGCACAAATAACACTATTATACTGCATTACATTTAGAGAAGGAAGATGGAAATTTTGTTGAAAAGCAGACTTTGAAAGAAAAATACAATCTTCAGACATAAAATCTCCAACAGTTTTGACACCTTTTTGATACCAATTTTCTATAAAAATACTCTTATTTTCAATCTTTATGTTAGAATTGTACCATATTGGAATATTACAGGCTTTATTTTTCATATCCATGTCATGTTCCACTTTTTTCATAACATACTGCCAAGAACTAAAAACATCAGACACTTATCCTGTGCAAATCTTATGTATAAATATTTATGTACATATTTTGTATACCTATGAGATGTAATGTCTCAGATTCAAATAAAACATTCAACATTCAACATCTGTATTTTGCTATCAGATAAAGTAAATTAATAGTACTGAAGGCAATAAATAAAAAAAAAAATAAGTGGGGTGTTATTGTTAAATTAAATGTGAACTGCATATTAATAAATGTGAAGAGATCAAGAAATCAAATTAATTCAAGAGTAGATAGATTATGTAAATAGTCAATATCATGCCATTGCGAAGAATTTAAAGTCTTCAGTCGAAAAGCCCAAGAATTGAAATATTAAACATGCATACGTATACATGTATCAATGAAAGTCAAGTAGTTGAATTTCAAGAAAAGCTAAACCGAGAGAAATGATATATAAAATGTGCATATCAATTAAAGTCAAGTAGTTGTATTTCAAGAGTGACTAAACCAAATTAACGAAATGACATATAAAAGTTAATGTTCATTTCAGTTAAAAGTCAAGAAGTTGAATTTCAAGAGTAGCGTTATCAACAGAATTAAAATATTTTTTGTGCATATCGATGATCATAAAAGACAGGGGGGTGAATTTCAAGAGTGGCTTAATCAAGAGAATTGAAATATCAAATGTGCATATAAATTTTGAAAGACAAGGAGTTGATTTTCAATAGTAACTAAATCCAGAATTATTAGGTAATATACATATAAATGAAAGTAAAAGATATGAACTTTAAGACTGGCTTAATCACTAGAATTGGAACATATTGATGTGCATTGAAAATGTAAAATTGTTTGTCAATTTAAGAAAGCAGTGAAAAAATTCAATGAGCATGTTAATGAAATAATTAGGGCCCCGCAAGGATTTGCGGGTGCCCTATAGTAATCACTCTGTCTGTCTGTCTGTCCGTCTGTAACTCTTCCGTCCACAAATTTTCTGTTTTTTTTCTAATAACTTTTTTTAGGGTTGACCAATTAACTTAAAATTTGGTATGTTGGTTGAATAGGCAGTAAGACATATTTTGATGTTAAGTTTGGTTCTCTGTGTCATCCGGTTTGGAGCTGGGGTGGTGGGGTATATTCCTTAACTTTATATAAGAGTGAATGGGCAAAGAGAGATAACTGCTGAGAATGTTCCTATTGTAAACTATGAAAGGCTGCAATGAGTCTCTTGGGATTAATTAACTTTCCTCTCTTGAAGAAAATCAAAAGCATTTATCTTTATCTGCCACATTGAGATTAATTAACACCTCTGTCTGCAAATGAAGTTTGTTTTGAAGTTAAGGTCAATTCTGAATGATGTTTACATTCTCTGAAATGTGGATTTAAATAATGTTCATACTTTATTTTGTTAAAATACACAATGAGTTATGATTTTATTGAATTCTAAAAACAAGATATAGATAAAGATATCGTTTTTATTATTATTTTCTTTTTTTTTCTGCCTTATGTAAATTCAAGAATACTAATTATTTTAACAGGTATTCAGATAATAACCTCATTCTATCATTGCTGAAAAAGTTCTTATTGTAAACTTAGAAGAAAAGGTTGAGAGAGCAGTATAATTAATCCCTTGGGTTTGATTATCTTGCTGGTTTGCAGAATATTTTAGAGGGTTATCTTTCTGTCACTTAATTAACACCTTTGTCTGCAACTGATATTTGTTTTGAAGTTAAGGTCAAGCCTGGGTGATATTTGCATTCACTGAAGGCTGGCATTTAAGAAAACACATGCTTCATTCATTTTTAAATATACATTTGAGTTATTATAGATATGATGTTTTTTACTGCCTTATGTAAATACAAGGATAATATTTACAGATTGTTGGATATTTAGCAGTTGCTGTTGCTTATTCTTTATATATTTTGAAATTTTTTGGAATCAAGTAAAATTCTCATCCCCTAATCTGCACCCTTATATTTCTAACCCTCAGCGGGGCCCTTGCTGACTGGTCAGATTTCTAGTTCAATTTGCGCTATTTGTAAATAATAATTCCCTACTTGTAATACTATTGTAGGTTTGGCCTTTTAATTTGAGATACTTGAGATAATTTAAGTAAGTGTTTCAAGCTTTTTTTTTTCTTTTTTTTCTTTTGTCTATTTAGGAGTTGTTTTAGTTCTGTAATATGATTTTACAAGAGTTGTGCCATTTTTTCCTATTTGAAATTTTTTATTCATTTGATATATAATATTTCTGTCAAATGATATCGAGTGCCCAAAAACTGTTCTCGATAGTTTTAATGACGATAGTCTGTGCTCTGTGACCATTTCAATGATGGTATCCTTTTACATTAATATTTTGTAAAAATACAAATTACTTTAAAATGCAAGCTACATTGTCATTTTACGAAAAATCCCAAAATTAACTAGTACTATTTGTTTTCTATGTTTAAAGGTTCGATCTGTGCTAAATTAATATACATTCCAGCAGATATTAAAAAATTAATAAATAAATATACGTGTTAAAAATACATGATGGAAAAGGTGTAAATAA